AACACCAGAGATACAATCAGTTGGGAGCACACTGCACCAACAGTACTCTTAACAGTTACGAGACCTAAAAGGAACACTGCTGAAAGCATTTTTGAGTTCAAAAGCTGTAATTTAGCAGGTACTCGTGGTACCAATTCCTGTGGCTTCATACATTATACTATAAGACACACGTAAACTCTCACAGAGGACTGGCAAGCCATGGGGACTTGTTAGGACAGAAGCGCCGATGCATTTATTAAAGCTGATGTCAGCAGAAAAACAGTCAGAAGCAAACTATCCCCAGCTTAGGAGGCAGAGCACAGGATCAAGTGTCTATAGCATTCCTCCCAGTATTATTGATGCTCTGTTCTGAGAAAGTCTGGGGGTGGGGGGGATCTCTTATGTTTTTCAGGTAATAGCAGCATCTCTGACATCTACCCACCAAATCTAGCGCACTCTTTTTCTAACTCTCAAGAACAATGATGTCTCGGGGCATTTGCAACTATCCCCCCACCCAAGATCAGAAACGGAGTGCTGTCCCAGTACCAAACCACTGATCACGCAGCAAAAGTAAAGTATTAAAAATTTAATACAGTCCATTCTCTAGTACCTATGCCTCTAGTAAAATGGCCAAACATATTTCTCTGTTGAAAGACAAGGGAAGAAAGACAGTAACTATATTCTATTCACTAAACTTGTACTTAGTTTTCTGTTTTTCTCACACATTTGTAAAAAGCAAAAGGTCAAGTTCTGCCTTCTCAACCTGAACACCGAAGCAAACTTTTCTGATTCTCCTGTAGCAATGCGCCCGTTACAGCGCCACACTCAGATGAGGAAAAGGCACTATCAAACAGCTGCCTATATAAGAACACAATGTGTAGCTACAACCACTCAAAAGCACGTACTGTTCCCACACACCTTCTGACATTATCTGAACTGAGTGTTAACAGATCCCAATAAAACTGTAACCTTTGGGGGGTACTGTTTTCAGTTACTTCTCTAGGGGAAAAGTAGTCTTTAGCTTTACAATAGTCTCACGTTCTTCTCCTAAGCTGATTTGTAAGCAAAAAGTAAGATTAGTGTGAATATCAATTTCTTCTTATAATCAAGTAAAAATGACAACTTACGAATATAGTAGAATTATTACAACTGAAGTAATTACCATCACAAACATATATGATCTTTAATGTTTTCTCCAATTCAAAATAATTATTTTCCTGGAATTCCAGGCTAATTAGAACTGAGAAAGTAGACGGATATAAACAGAGCATAACTTGCTAACAGTGACATTCTACTAAGTAGCATAGCAAGGGTCCAGACAGTCTTATTTCTACACTAGGACTTTCCAAACCTTAACAAACTAATCTTCAATTCTTGTTACATTCAATGTTCTGATTCCACATCTCTGGCAGAGGATGGAGGAGGGCAAAGGGAGTGTGGAGCAACATTCTGTACTTCCCACAATTCTACCTGTGGTACACAGATGACGGGCCACCCTACCAGTAGCAAGGGTCTTCTACCATAAAAAACAACATCCAGAAGACAGTAAAAGAAAATAATAGATTGAGCCTATGAATAAGGGAGAGGTTACCGGCTTCTCATTCAGAACTCAGGCTTCCAATTTTACATTATTCAGGGGTAAGCTGTGAAACTTTGTAAGCACCTGATCTTGGGTTTTATCTGAAAAATATTATAAGTTTAAAACTCTAATAACTACCCCAATTAAGGCATTTCCCATATCCAAAAACTATCTCCCAATACCCTAAATGTCTGCATCATAATGGTAAGGAGTATTTTAGAAGCATATTTTGTACTTGTTTATATATACAGAAAACTAGGGGCTCAGTTAGAAACTTGCAGTTCCTACAAGCAGCGCCTGTAAGATGAGGTCCACCCTTTGAGCACATAACTCCAGGGTCATGTCAACAGGTTTTTCTAAAAGCAGAGCAATGTCCACACAATTTTCTTTCAACTTTACTAGTATTATCAATTATTTATAGCCTAATCTGAGACCTGGATGGCAAGGCTGTAAATTTGAAGAAAAAATAATTGCATCTGTGACGGCTAATCTTCATGAGCAAGCTGCTGGGGTTGAACTCACCTAGGAGAGGCCCCTGGGGCATGTCTGTGAGGTCTTTCCAAAGAGACTGAACCTAGAACGCAGCCCTATCCTGCCTGTAAGCAGTCGTACCTCCTAATTCCAGAACTGAAATACAGTCGATCACTAGAGATAACATCTTTATCAACAGTCTTAGTACCAGAAAAAAAAAAAAATTACCAAACCGCAACGAAACTTACTTAAGGGCACACAATTCAACAACTAATTCGATACCTGAGCACTCTGAATGATTAGACCTAACTTAATGCTAATTAAAAGAAGATATTTAAGAAAATCCTTCCTAATCTGAGTAATTTGGCTTTTTTTCTGAACTTTCCTGGATTTCACTCAACTTTTTTTCTGAGATACACAGATATATTTCTGCTCCAAGAAAGAATTAAATCTGTCACATCCTTTGACAAGCTTGTTGAAAGAGAAAAAGAAATAGAGAAAGAAAAAAAGAAAGAAGTCACACCCAAAACCATAATGATATTCTGATTAAATAACTATACACAAAAAGACAAATGTATTTGGTTTCTTTTTACATTGTAGACAATATAAACCCACAGATCTTAAATGTACTTATGAATATGGAATTTCATCTGTCAAGGTAGCCTAAACAAAGATTAAGTTTAAAGCATACAATCTCCACAGGCTTACAATGAACATTTACTTAAACACCTACAAATTTAAAGAACACTACCGATGTTCTTTCCTAGATCTGATAAGAAGGCAAAAAATACAATACAAATTTAGGCTTCTCTGTCAAAATTCTACACTTCCTGCACTAAATACTCAATCTACAAAGTTCCTACCCTAGGTAAGGAGTAGACCTTCCACACAGAATTAGACATGCCCATGTATCAGGTCGTTTTACATGTAAGACATACAAGGGAAAAAAGCCTAGCTTCAAAACGCCCAGAACAAGTCACAGCGCCCACTTCTTGTCTAATTACGTATGCCGCTTCACAGACATGCAGATCCTAAGGAGGACTGAAGACGCCATCAAGTGCAGCAAGGGAGTCTCACTAGTCCACCAGTTTAGTGGCCGAATGCTAAGCACTGTCTTACAGACTGGTACACAAGAGGGAAAACCCAGAACAAACTCAGCTCTCTGCCCCACAGAAAGCGTCCACTCCCTCTAAGACGGTCCTCAGCGGCCTTGTGGAAGCATCCTAGGTTTACAGTGAAAGCTGGGTCCTTCCCCACCGCAGACTGCTCTGAGGGCAGCTGACACGTCTACCACGTTCTGTAGGTTTATCCTCATCCCCCGGATAGCACTATTTGCAGAAAAGCTAAACACCTTTTAAAATGTTTGATCTTACATGCAACTTTTAAATATCTGAGAGTGTTGAACTAATCTTTACATCTCTCATAATGGGAAAAATAACTACACGCATTGCAAATTAAATGATTCTTTCAGAGAGCAAACTTAACTTGACCTTTCCTAAGTGAACACAGACTTGACAGACCATTTGGGAGGCTGGACTTCACTTTACTTATTCTCAAAGCAGCAAAAATATAACATTACTCACTCATAATTAGTTGTAAATTTTCTAGTAACTAGACTAAATGGAACATTTATTAAACATAATCACAATATTATCACTTCAACATAAGAGCAAAATTTTATGCTCTGCTAAGCTTTTAAAATGCGGTACACATGCGGCACACATGCCACACTTTCAACAACATGCCATTTTACAATGCGGTGCACAAGTCACTCTACTTTCAGCATGTCATTTTAAAACGTAGTACACATGCTTACTTTCAGCATGTCATTTTAAAACCTAGTACACATGCTTACTTTCAGCATGTCATTCTAAACTTGCCACAGGTAAAGCTGCGAGTGGCCAGTGGCTACTGTATTGGATAGCACACCTCCTAAGTTAATGCAGTGCTTGGACATACCACTTTTAACAAGTAACACTTAATTCATTGAAAAATTCAGAATGAGGTCACTTTATCAACAGATCTAATTAATGTACAGTTACAGGTCAGTGACATTTGTGTCCACGGCTGACTCCAGAAACGTGTCCGATCAACACAAGCAATCACAGAATTTGTAGCAGAAACAGATTAAACACTAAAGCATTTTCCTACCAAACTATAACATCACCACAAGTGCACCTGACATGCTCAATCATAAGCCCCTATCCTTATGCAAACTATTTAAATTTATCTCAAAATGATAGCGTCATAAGCCACATAATTACTGTTTAAAAATAAAAGTATAGTTTATAAGATGAAATGAAAACAACTGACAAAGATTGGCTACTTTCAATGCTTCTTAACATTATTAATCACAACCTTAAATTACTCTACCTAGGTTCCAGACAAATTATTTCCACGATTACAATTTACTTTCTGCTTACAAAGAATTTTCAAGTAATTAGGGCAATTGCTTAAAATGTAAATAATTCCAACAATGCACCCTCCAGAAAGCAACAACTGAAACTATCATTAGTTTACCAAACTCTGTCATGAAGGCCGAGTGACCAAAAGACCAAACAGAAGCGACTACACGCTTGTTGACTGCACTCACATTTTCTAACACTGCATTCAGCAGTTTCTAAATCTGGACGGTCAGTTCAGATCGCACACAAACAGCTCTTTAGAGCTGAAAATCTCAGAAATCACTGAAGTGTAAGCTGTGCACAGAAGCGCTCTACAGACACCAAGCAAAATCAGCACCAGTCACATCAATTTCAGACGCCAAAATCCTGTTTGTAAGTTCACAATGTATACATGCTAAAGAGTATCTTTTCTCCCATTTTTATTTATTTAAGCTAGATAATTTTACTTTAGTGCATTCCAAAAAACAAATGAAGTCAGTTTTTTAGGCTGCACATATATCCAGGCAAGATCATTACATTAATTTCTCATTGTTTCTCCACAAATGCAAACAAAATGTGTTTCTTACCTGCAGTTGGGAGGAGGATCAAGAGTGATTTCAGCTAGCTCCTTCTGAATTCTGCCAGTGAAATGAGAACAAACAAAAAGGATCTGAGGCAGTCTACAGAATAACCGGGGAATTACACTGCCCTCTACCACCACGCAGTTAAATGCAAGGCTGGCTTTGCCTTCAGTAATGCTAACATGGCTGCTTCCTCTTTGTTCTCAGAGGCATAGCCCAAATCCCTTAGCAGAAACTTTGCAGCTCTTTTTCTCACGTGCTACTGTAAGTAAGTGTGTCATCTCCACCTGTTTGGAGAACTAGTCCTTTCTGACCACTAAGTGGAGGACACAGAATCTAATAAAAAACACGCTTTACCAAAGAAATTCTCTTTTCAAGCTTATATGCAAATGAGACAAAAAGGGAGGAGGGAAAACACCAGAGAATTTGACAACGATTTCAAGTCACTTTTTACTGAGCTAAAAATTAACAGGCTGCTACAAGAGCACAGTAACAGTTTCTGGAAATAAAATTTATCTGTCAGAAAAGTTTAAAATTTCTAAACATCTTTGCCAAATAAAAAATTTCAAATTGGCACTCGCATTAACTAACTCTGACTGAAGTCCCTGATCTTTAGACATATCTTTAAAGTTCTACAAATTTCAGCAGGAGAGAAGATAAAGGTAACAAACTCCAGCTACAGACAAAAGGCAACTCTGACATTCTTCGAACCTAGGATGTTTTCAAAACTTGAGACGTGTGTTTAACACGTTCCTCCACAAGATGACAAGAAATTGGCCACTTTAGATTATTTCAAAGACTGTTGTTGCTGGTCAATAAAATATTCTAAAGCTGCTAGCATTTGATTAGTGGTCAAAATCCACACAGAGAGTTTGAATTACGGTAAGAATGTAACAGTTGATCAGTTTTTACATTTTTCTTCCTTCGTTTATGGCCAACAAAACCAACAGAACGCCTGTCCTGCGTAAGGCTGAGCCCATTTCATCTGAACTGCTGGTGTCTCTAGATACCCCAACACCACCACCACTCAGTCCCACTGGCACAACTGATCTTTAACTTGGACTCAGTCATGTTTCCCCTGCTGCTGAGTTCACCTGTCAAACAGATCCACAAGTTTTATGAGTCAAGAGGAAGACCACAATGACATTTTCAGCCACCGAAAGACACCTAAAACTGTCACTGGCTACTTTTAAGTTTTATGTGGCCTCACAAGAAGGGGGGGGGGGGGTTAACAATAATCAGCACAGTTACACCTGTGCAGTGAGATGTAAAGTCTTGTTTGTCCAAACTGTGGACCAATTTAAAGCACACCTTTAAATTGTGCTTTAAAGGACCTGCTTTCCAATAAAGCCAAGCCTGGTATTTTATCCATTCTCCAGTAAATATTCTCCAGTAAATATTACCATATCTGACCACTCGATTGATGGCTCATCCCTAGCACTGCCAGGTTCACTGAAGCATGCCTCCCAGAAGCAAACCTCTCCAATGCACCATCTAATTTGGGTTCACCAAATTTCCCTGGCCAACTCCTTCATCTGTCAGAGCCAGCCTCAGCTCTGCTGGAGTCGACTCCTCGCTTCAGAGTCAACAGGGGTAGGGAGTCGGCTTCTACACCACATGCAGAATGACAGCTCCTTCAAGTTCAACCACATGGGATGGAGAAGTATTTCCGAACTATGGCCACTGCTGTTAAACCAACAAAGCCAGCTGTGGGACAGAAGGCGACCTGCCCAGGCGTGAGCCCTGCCCTGCAGGCAGATGTTACCTTTTAGCACTCGTGGATAACTTAGCAGTTGTTTTGCTGGAAAGTTTGGTGTTTTTCTTCTGCTGGGTAGCAGAAGGCTTCCTCTCTTCCTGTTCCTCAGGCTCTGGAGCGGCAGGGTCCCGCTGGTCGGCATCTGAGCTGCCGCTGCTGGTGCTGGGGCTCTCATCGTCCGACCTCTGCCTATCACTGGACATCTTGGTGAAGTGATCTCTGGGAAAACTTCTGAGGAGAGAAGGGACCGTGGAGAAATGTTAAAATCTCCCAGATAAAAATAACCCAGCAGCACGCTCCTCTTTCTGGAAGCCCCTAGGAGAGTCTGCTATGGAAAGGGATTCGAAAGTCCCCATATTCAAGGTACAGCAAGGTTACGAAGGCTGGTGTGTCTTCTGAGGCAGGCGTTGAGGGATTTACCAAACTCAAATTAGAAAACCCACTCACATTTTCCCCCATCCCTCAGACAATCTATCAATTGTCTACTTTCTCAGAAGGCATGAAACAGATTTTGCCAGGGAACTTGGGCAACGGGCATTAATAACATATGACAACTGTAAATAACAGATCTCGCTGAGAATGTTCAGAAGTCACTAATATCGTCTAAATATTTACAGGCTGACACCGGTCTGAGCTCCCAAAGCCTCCTTCCCAGAGGGAAGCGTACCCTGTTAGTCGCCCATATGCTTATTTACGGTGGCGGGTCCTCCCGTGCGCACCGAACGCCTTTGAACACCACTCAAATTAAAAAAAAAAAAAATTTTCAACTGGCAGCCGCCCCAGCGCCGTCCCCACGGCCAGCAGCGAGGATTCACCCGGCCAAGCCGGAGCTGCCACCCGGGGAAGGGCAGGATCCGAACTGCACCTTCTTCTGCAAAGCTCCCGGAGCCACCGACGTCCCCCGCTCAATTTCTCCCTCAACGACCGACATTTTGTGGGGGGGGGGAGTAGAGAGAAGAAAAAAAAATCCGCAAAGCGGCCAAAAGCCCGAGGGCAAAACAAACAAACAAACAAAAGCCCTCCCCCACCCCCCACCCCCAGAAGTGCAACAAATTGGCGCGGCCCGCCCCGGGGCGAGCGCCTGGCCACGCAGCTCCGCGGTCCTTTGTGGGGAGGGCCGCGCAGGGG